GTAGTCCCAGCTACTCGGGAGGCTGAGGCAAAAGGATCGCTTGAGCCCAGGAGATTGAGGTTGCTGTGAGCTAGGCTGACACCACGGCACTCTAGCCCAGGCAAAAAGAGTGAGACTCTGTCTCAAAAAAAAAAAAAAAAGAAAATCTCTTCCATGTCTGACAGGTATCAGCCACAAAACACACACACACACACAAATCAGCATCACTGAGCTAATGAGAGTTTTAAAAGCCACTTTCACAGTGAAAGCCAGTGTAGGCAGAGAGTTTAGAACAGAATCCCCAGGTACGGAAGTGAATTTCATAGTATTTCAGGAAGGAAAATTTTCTGCACATGTTTAATGTAGATGAAGTCAGGTCACATGCTGGCAGCCCAAATCCGAGGCTGCTGCATCAGTCTGAGGTCAGTTCGGCATCAGCAGTAGTTCTGTCGCTGATCACGGAGAGACATGTGGAAAGGCCGCGTGTCTGAACACTAACTAGAGCTACGGGGATGACCATAGCACTCCTAACATTTCTCTTAACCCCTCTGACTTGTCGGGGTGTTTAAGCTGTAGGAAGGAGGAAGCAGGTTAAAAAAGGAACCAAGGACCTTCTGATTCAAGTAAAGATAACTGGAAGTAAAATTTTAAGAACACTTATAAAGTAGCTAAAGTGAAGCTATACAGACAGGCCAGTCCATTCCTTTTATTCCAGCATTTACAAACGAACTGGTGGTGAGAACTCCCAAGTGACAACGATCCCAGCCACAGTTGCTGCCTATGTATCATCTGAAGGTCAGGCCTGCTGATGCCCCAGGTAACGTGGGGGGTGCCTTGGAAAGCAGCACTGGAGTCAGGCCCTCGAGCTACTGGTCAGAAGTTAGCTCAGCAGAGGCTCCTAACCAGAGCAAAGAAACACAGTGCAAGGCCAATGTGACCTAAGAGTCTGCCAACTAATCAGTCCTGGGCCACTCAGGTTTTAAAGCTAGAGGAATAATACTGGGTTTGGGAGGAGACGGCCGGCTAGAACCACCCCCTTCACAGGCTACAAGCTTCAGGTCCTAGGCCAGGCCTTCTGTGGGTGAACCTGGTTTGACTCTGGTGTATTCGTGTGCACAGGTTGAATGTGGGATAGCCTCTACTGCTCTGCTGCCTGCCAGGCACATTTCCAGGGCTCTCTGGGGCACAGGGGCACAGATAAGTGGGGAAGGGTGACCCCTTCTGAACAGGGCAGCTGATAGACTGCCTCATGGGGACGCAGGCCCAGCACTATCTAACTTAATCTCCTCCCCCACCTTTTTTTGGCCTGTTACATCTTCTGAGGCATAAGTTAATCTTCCAGAAGCCAGAAATCTGAATTTTTATATCAGCTCTCGACTTTTAAATGTTGACAGACCAGACCAAACCAACAAAGGTGCAGGCCAGGTCTGGCCCACAGGCCTCCCTGTTTGCAGTCTCTGATCTCTATCCAGGGTTCTTAAATCACCCTCAGCTATGCCCTGCACACCTGACTGGAGAACAGGCCTGAGAACAGCAGTTGGTGCACACTTGTACTTACTTTCTACTCTGCTAAAGAGAAGAGAGGAGCAAGCAGAGAGAGAAAACCAGAGGGTCTTTATTGGAAGCAAGAGCCCCAGACAAGAGTCAAAGATGCAATCACTCAGGTGGCTCAAAAAGGGAAAAGGATTTATTAGACTATTTCCAGGACTGGGACCCAGGGGCAGAGACTGGGTTCAGTGTTCTTACACTCAGGAGGAAAAGGCAGCAGTGAAAACCCGCCTGACTGCCTTCTCTCGTTCTGATCGAAACAGCTTTGTGTTCACAGAAGCCATCTCCTCCTCCTGCAAGAAGACACAGGGCCCTGGATGCCAGCCTAGGGGGGTAGGAATGGCTTATCTTACTCTCAGTCTTTGAGGCAGAGCTTGGGCTGGGAGGGATGTAGGGGTGTCAGCCAATCCGTTCTCAAGGAGCAAAACTTGGGAATTAAAGGAACGGGGTGGTGGGGCCTGGCCAGCTGTCCAAAGTCTGTGCCATTCACATCTCGGCTGCTCTCACCCCTTGATGCTTCCAGGTGATTTTATCTTTCTAAACAAGACGAAAATCCAAGCAGCATTAATTTAGGGGAACAAAAAAAGATTAAAAAAAAAGGAGATGACACACAGGGCACAGAAAGGAGTTGGTGAGCATCCAGGAGAGGAGGAGGAGGAAGTAGGAAGAGCCAGGATCCACTGTGTGCCCAGCGGGCAGCAGAGTCTCTGCGGCTGTGGAGGCCCTTTCTTCCTGCTCCCTGGCTGGCAGCGAGATGGCAGAGGGGACACTGTAGTGACTTAGGATGAGCCCTACAGCCCTGTCTGGCCACCAATGTAGGGAGTACCATGGATTTGCCCCAGTCAACCTCCCACTTTCACCATTGCCCAAGTGAAGAAGCTTTTAACTCTCCTGTCCAAAGTCCTCTGAGAATTTCTTCACTTTCAGGAGGTCGTCTGCATTCACTGTGGGCCGGGTAGTGGCCAAAGACCGGAGCATGTCCGACTGCAAAGACAAGAGTGCGCAACTGAGGAGCCAGGCCCCAGGTGCTCAGCCTCGCCTCACTGCACAACCGTGCAGTCCAGGGTGGGAAGAGGCCTGCCGTCGAGGTCACTCCTACAGCTGCCCTGCTTGAATCCACCTATGGCAGGGACCCTCTTCCCTCCCAAGGCAGCTCATTTCCAGGCAGGTCTACTTCTAGTCTGAGGGAATCTAAGCTCCATCATCTCGTAACTCCCATTAGGAGTCTTTCATAACTGTATGCCCACCATGCTAGCCACAGGGCAGACTCCTGCCAGGACGGCACAGGTGAGACTAAGATGATGAGAAGTCCAGACTAGTGGGTGAGCAGCTGCCTTTGCAACTGCACCAGACCAAACCATGCCAAAAGAGTACCAAATCAGCCAAGTTGTGGAATGCTGTAGTCACATTTTCTGGACTTTACTTTTCTTGCTGAAGAATATAAAACGCTAATTCTGCTGCCTCCATCCTGGCCCCCGCCGAGTCTCATGGCAGGAGCCCCCGCTACCCAGAGCTGCAAGGGCCATTGGTTTAGGAGGGGCCACAGCAGCCCAGAACACAGAAGGAGGGGACCTTAGACCCAAGCTCCCAGTTTTCTGGGTTTTGTGCAGTCCTCTCTCCCAAGTGGCCACCTACCATGCAAACCACAGGCTCTAAGAGTTTGTCACCAGGGACATCCATCCAAGTCATCTCCATGGCCCCTGGGTCCCCTGGTGAGCATGGGGTCAGGAGGTCATCGATCATAATGCTGGGGTTGGTGCGGGAAGGACCACAAACCTGAAACCAAACAGGAATTTGACTGGCTGGAGTGGCTGCCCCTTAGTGTTTGGGGAAGTGTCAGGACAGCTCAGGTTTCTAAGGACATGCTCAAGAGAAGGTAATGCAGGGTTTCTAGTCTTCAGGGTCAGAGGAGGGATGGGCTCCCACAGGCTGATCAGAAGCTGGTTATTGGCACATCTTCCAGCCACTGTCCTCCAGAATCTCAATTTGTAGCTCCAAATGCCTTATCTTTCTCATTAATGCCATTGAATCACACCATGGATGTGGTGACATCAAAAATGTTTTTCCAGCTGAAGTCTGCTGCATTGGCAGAACATTCCTCAGATGTCCCCAAGGCTCATTTCCTCACCTGCTTCAACTCTTGACGCACAAGTCCCCCCCCCCGCTCCCAGGGTCCTTTGACAATGCAGCCTGCCCAGCCCTCCCCCGAG